ATCCCGACACCTGTTGCGTCACTGCTTGACTTCTTCTGCAGCTGCTTGCCACCACTTGTGGCCAGATGCCATGTGGCACATTGCATTGTTACTGCCACTCATGGCAGGAGGCTGCATGGTGCTTTGTGCCATTTCTGCTGCTTGTGGCAAGAAGTTGCACACTGCTTCGGGCCATTTCTGTTGTTCTGCCAGGAGGAGTAGAAACGGCGGAAAGCACCATGTAGCTTCTTGCCACGAGCCACAGAAATGGTGCAAAGCACCATGCAACACCCTGCTGCGAGGGCCTGAAGCGCTGTGTGCAACCTCCTACCAGGAGTGGTGGCACTGGTGTAACAAGCCATGCGGCTTGACAAGTGTTGGGGTGTGGCAGGCCTGGTTGCAGCGGTCTTACCGGTAAGGTAAGCGAATGCAGGGTGCATGGGGCAGCTTCACCCCCCCCACCCCATCTTAGCTTGATGTTAGGTGTGCGCCTCACCCCAAAACTAGTGGTTATTTTTGGAATAGGGCTTATATTAGGCCCACCCCAAAAATCAGGCTAGGGCTTACTTTTTGGCTGAGTCTTACTTTTGGGGAAACACGCTAGTTATGTTTGAGAAGAAATAAATAAACAAATTTAAATATATTACAGATTAAACAAGCACAATCAATAATTTAAAAGCCATAATGTAGGGCAAATAAAAACTATAAAAACCATTACTAAATTATTCTTCTGTTAATATAATCTGTAAAGTGATTTTATGCATTATTCGGTGGCTGGATGGAAGTTGCTTAGAAAAGAGCTTTAGCAAGTTAGATACTAATTAGCCAGTATTTGGGTAATTCTTAGTATCATTAACTTTCCCACTTGTAGAAATTTAAATTACTTTTGAAATGATTGGAAAATTGGCATTATCTATATCTTCAGGAGCAAACAATTTTTTTTAATGCTTTGAATATAAATGTTCAAAATAGGGTCAAGAAACCCATGGCCTTGGGTCTAATTTTAATTTTTTTTTGTAAGGTATTGGTTTAGCAAATATGATCTGTTCTATTTCAGCAAGGTTAGAACAAAGATGCTACTTCTTTAATAAAATTCCACAGGTGTAGGTTGTTGTTGTTTTTTTAGCTTCACAGAGTAGCCTGAAAAAAGTTGGGCAGAACAATTTTTATTCACAGTTCAACTCATTTTTAACTCTGGCCCAACCTCTAAGAGCTTTGGCCATTCCTACCATCATCACAAAATATTCTCAATCTTTTCTTATCCATGATTTACTGAATGTCTTGAAGAAGAAAATCTAACCATCATGTTCGTATTTCTATAAGTTGAAAGGAAAAGATGAGAGTGAAGGAGAAAAACTAATTAAGATTTGAAACAAGGTTTCGGATGTTCACCTTGAAGATATTGATATTATTGTGAAAGCAGCCAGTTCTTTATGAATATTAATTGTAGCAATGTTACAATATCAGTCTTCGTTCAAGGAAAGAAAATCTAGCAGGCGTAACCTGAATGCAGTTCCTTTCTCTTTTACAATGGTCAACCAAAAATGCAGTTGCTTTTGAAAAAATTATCTCATATGCTCTAACACTTAATGGGATGGGATGGGAGCAATAACTCATTGACTCACACACTACTCCCAGCCTTTGCTTTGCTTGGCTAAAGACAGCAGGAGCAGATGGTTCTCAGGGAGGCAGCACTGATATATTGGAAGCATTAGAACACCACTATCTAACTGCCTTGAGTCTTTCTGGCAATTGATGCTCTATGTGATATATATATACTCAGTAAGACTTTTCTCTCTAGGGCTATTGAATCTGGCAAGTGTATATTACAGTGTTAGTTATACTGCTCTGCTAGAAGCCAGCAAAGTAAGGCTAGAGGTTAGAGACAAGACACTGCCTCTCATTATACCACACAGCTAGGATTAAAATACAATGGCTGAGGGTGTCAAGAAAATATGCCCCTCTCATTTTGTGGAGAGCTATTCTCCCTACACAATTTTCCCAATCAGTCCAAGAGAAGTTAGTGGAGAAAAGCCAGACATCTTACTTCAGGAAAGATCAAGAACAGCCTCTCTTAACTGCATTTTTTTAAAATCCAAGGAAATACTAGTAAATGAAGCTTTAGCTTTTCAAGGAATTGCCCAAATTAAAGCACCTAGATAACCTTGATTAATCTAATAAATCTAAATCAGATTGGACCCAGCTAGAACATCAGTAAATATTATGGGGGACAGGCAGGGGCAGGCAACCTTGGCTCTTTTATGACTCGTGGACTTCAACTCCCAGAATTCCTGAGCCAGCTATGCTAAATTGATGAAAAAAGCAATGATCTGTACTGTTTCCCGGATAACAACATGAAATCAGCAGGTGCTCATTTCATCTTGAGGGAGACTTTACTTTTAAAAGACCAGTGCCAGAAAGTACTAAGCTGTGATCAGCTGAGAAAATGTAATTGTTCAAAAATTCAAAATAATCAAGTAATTGAATTAAAACTCAGAAACTAACCTGAGCCCTGAAATATGTTGGCAGAATTCACTGTAGATATAATATGGTTTGTTTGGTTTTGAATTAGTGGAATGTGTAGAAAAGTCAGTGAATGAATTAGATTTGTATTCAGGCTATACATCACTATTTGAAAATGCATCTTGTTATTTTTTTGTTTGTAGTTTCCTAGTGTATTCTTGGCATGTTTTTATGCATCCTCTAGACCTCTACTGTAGGGATCTCAACTTTTTTGAGCCAGCAGGGATATCTGAAATTTTGATAATGTATTTTGAAGTCTCCCACATTTTTCTTTTTTGAACAAGACTTCAGTCGCATGAGCCATTTTTATTGTCTAAGAAGATCTACACTGCTCAAGGCACTTTTGAGAGAGAAAAAGAAAATGCTAGAAGCTGATCCTTTGCTATGTGGAATACCTTTTAAGCTGAAAGGTTAGATGAAATAAGGATGGATACTAAAGGTGTTTTGGAACTGACAGAGGTCCATGAGCTCCACCCTAGACTCAGCTCAGTTCCCTAATGGGGCAGATCAAGAGCTAATAAAAAGAATGGAAAACAAACTTGACATTGACTATGATTTCTTTGTTAGAACACTTTTGAATTGTTTCATCTGGATAAAATAAAAATGGTGAGTAAAACAAGAGAAGTCATACCCTGCTAACTGCTAACTGCACTGCTAACTGATAGTTATTTAGATCAATGATTTGATTGATTAAAAGGAAGCATAACTGAGGCATTATTTTTTTTTCTGCTTCAGTTTCTTTAAAGAAAGTATATTTACCATTCCAAGGGAACAATCCTGTCACTTGGAAATCAACCTAGCAGCATAAAAGGCAATTTAAGAACATCATCAAATGGAATGATGCAGGGAGAGTGGGCAAACTAGCTTTCTGTGACTGAGCAATTATGCTATTCAAAATCCTGGTTTTAGAATAATACCTAAATATTATGGTGCCAAGTTCCTCTCCTTTCAAAGGAGAATTATTTATTCATATGTAAATGTATTCAGTTTTAATCAAGCACACTTAATACTTCTTTATCTAGAAAGGCATTCCCTTCTGTGTAGTGTACTCTGTTCATATCAGAACTGCTAGTTTTCCCTGCATCCAACAATACTAAGAATTTCCTGTAATGCTGAGATCAACACCAGGAATCAGTTCAAATCCTATATGATTATGGATTTACAAATTGTTCCAGCTTAAAATGCCTTTATTCTGTAAGATTAATGACCATATTAAGACAGTAATAAAACATGAAAGAAATAAAACTTAGTTTTGTATTATGATTGAAAACTCACAAAAGGGAGCTTCAGGTGTCATGGTTACAAAGGGAAGTTTGCAGTTTGTGTTTGCATGAGTGTAAGATATGGAGGATTTTTTTAAAAAAAAATGTTCAGGATTTGTAATCTCACAAGTCTCAGCGGACAGGCACTATCTTGCAAAAGACATTTCCCTTGCTGGAAGGAAATGCTTGTTCTAACAGGGGTTTTACCACACATTGTTTTATGTAAATCCTGTAATAAGCTTTTGGTCTGATTAACCCAATTCATTAGTAGATGTAATAGAAGCCCCTCATTAGGATTGCTGCCGTATTGTACAACCAGGTAGGTAGATGATGCCGAAATTCATTATTAGGCATCTCTTGTCTATACTTCCTCGGAATGCTGGAATTTGTAACTGAACAATATGTACGCTGACCACATTATCTGGCTTTATCTACCCAACCCACTGGCTTCCTTCTAATTTCTTTTAACCCCCTCTTCCTTTTTAGCATCTCCATTCTGCCTGTATGGTATAAGCTTTTTCACTCTTCCAGCAACCTTTCCCCTCTACAGCAGATGCTGTCCAAATGAGGACCCAGATTGTTGGGGGCAATGTAAATATATATATACATTGCTTACTGGTGTACACCGCTTAGAGAGTGCTTGCACTTAAAGCGGTATATAAGTCTCATAAATAAATAAATAAAATGTTGGACGGCAGCTCTCATCATTTCCATTCAGCGAAGCTAGTGGCCTTTAGCTTGGCGTTACTGCGACTCGCCGTCCAGCACATCTGGAGAAGCCACCAAGTTAGGAATTGTTGTAAGCCGCCCAGGGTAACCCCACGGCGAGATGGCACGGGCTGCTTCTTGCAACACTTTATCCCGGGGACGGCGCTACCGCTATTGTCTCCCGGGTCCGTGTTCGAGCGAACAGAAGACCTCAGGGGCGGCCCAGGGAATGAAATCGTGGAGGAGCTTTTGGTTTGGCGCCCGTCGAGGATAAAAGGCGCCGGGAGGGGGTCCAGGCGCGGGAGGAGAAAGAGCGGAGAGACTTTCACTTCACTAATGATCTGCACCAGAAAAGGCGTCTATCAGGTTGGTCTGTTGCCGCTGCTTTCGTCGTCGCGCGCTCCTCCTCCCCCTCCCCCGCCCCCCCTTTTTTCTTTTGCTCAAGTTGCCTTCCTCGCTTTTTAGCCCGCTTTTTCCCCTCTTAAGGTGGCTCGGCGAGTTGCGGCGTCCTCCGCCGAAAGCTCTGCGCTTTTCCGAGGGCAGGGGGGCCTTAAAGGAAACCTCTTCGCCTCCCTCCACCGCCAGCCTCCAGCCTGAGCTGCGTTCCACGCCGCCGCATGTAAGGAAGCTCCTCGCACCGGCTTCGCTCCAGTCGGAGAGAGAGAGAGCGACAGAAAGAGAGAGGGAGAGGGAGAGGGAGAGAGAGAGAACGCCGTCCAAGCTCCGAATCACTCGAAAGTCGCCGCCGCGGGCACATGCAGCAGTCGCACTCGCGAACCTGTAGCCGAGAAGCTGGACCTTCGTCTGCGGGAGACGCCGCTGCTTTGATACGCCGGTTGATCCTCCGCCGGCACTTGCTCGGAGGTTCTCTCTCGGAGATCTTCAGGACTGGCTTCAGAAGCAAAGCGACGCATTGATTTTCCTCAGGTAAGGAGGACATGCAGCCTGAATCTTTTACCACTGGTGTTATCTTGGGGGAAAATGGGCTTCTCTCCCCTTCCATCCCCAATATTTAAAACTGATCAACGACACTGGCCACTTCCCCCCCCCCTTTTTTTTTTTTTTTTTGCTCAAGATGGGACAGTCAACTCTTTAAAAAGCGAGGGCAAAATAGGTTTGGTTATCAGCAAATGGAAATAACCACGTCTCTTGCTTCCATCTTCAAATATTAATGTATGTCTTTCCAGCAAATTTTGAAAAGAAAAAACAGATTATCTGTCTCCGCTGTATTTCCCCCCCATTATCTTTGCTATTCCAGTGAAAGAATCCTGGGGACTCTTCCATTCCCTTTAACTCTTCTATCCTCTCCAGGGACAAAATCACCTGGGCTTAATTAATGAGGGAATGCGTATGTGGGATGTGATGGTACACTTTGCTGATCCCGCTTGCCTGTGGGAGAAAGAGCAGCAAAGCAGGGGTAGAGAAATTCAAAAGGACTCCCCTTCCTTTTCTAATTTCCAAGCTAACCTTCTTTTGTTTGAGTGAACAAAGAGATTACAACTAGCAGCTGTAGCGGGTAGGGGGAAGAACGATTTTTCAAGATGCAGTAAAAATGACTAATTATAAGATGGCAAGATAGAGCTATCTCAACTTTGGAAGGAGTGCAGTGTGATGGGGTGCTAGTTAAATATTAAGTAGAAGAATATATTCTTGGTCTCCTCAATTCCTTTGTCCCTGTTATGGCTGATTTTATGTAGGAAACATCATTCTCCTTTAGTTTTTTGGCTGGTGGATAAATTAGATAAAGATAAGAATTTCATTTCTCTTACCATTCTCAAGCAGCCCTATCAGAAATGAAAAATCAGGGAAATATCAAGCAAGTGAAATGGGAATTTAATTCCCCAAAGGAGAGTTCTCTGTAATGTCCTACTGGGCTATTCAAAATCTATTGTCATCATTAGGAGGATTCTGGATTAGCCTGACTTACATTTTGGTTTTCAGAAAACTCTTAGATTTGCCCAGTAGCATTTACAGAACTGAGTTATGACATTAAAAAGACAGTTTCTAATGGAAACCTCTCAGTAAGCAAAGCATACAGTGCCAATTGAATGGAAAGTTCATTATAGATTAGACATAGAAGTCTCAGAAAAAAAACATAAAAGCTGCTTTGGACAATGGTCATTTTGGATTCCTCTGCAGCGCTGGCATGGTAACATATAATAAATGTTGAGTTATCCTTGCCCCTCCAGTTTTGTTTGGACAGGAGTCCCAATGTCTTGAACCTTTGCTTTGAAGTTTGGCAGGTTCAACTTCTAGGAGAATGTTCCAGGGTTGAATAAAATCCAATTTCATCTGAATATAGCCTGACCCCAAGATAGATTATTTTAATCCAGATAATTTGGATCTTGCGTGGCATGAATAAAGACAATATGCAATTCCAGCTCCTTTTGAAAAAAAAAACCTTGTGACAGGGAAAGAATGAATAGGAAGCATAGGGAGTTCAGGGTCCTTCCACAATCTGTTTCTCATCTGCTTCTAGAATCTAAAATGGCTTTAGCAATGTATCATTTCCTCTGGTCATGCTTGCAATAAAAGTGCCTAGAACAAAGTATCAGAGAAGTCTCTATCACTCAGGTGAAATGTAGGCAAAACCCACATATATAGAGAAAAACAATCTGATTCCAATCAAAATTATCTAAAATGATTAACTGCAACTCTGCAATTTGAGTTGAAAGGAAAATGAGTTTATTCAGTTTTCTTTCAGGGAATTAAAAAAAACCAGAGATATACTGTGAAATAAATCCAGATGATCAGCAAATTAAGTCTCTAGCATTCTCCAGCAAAAGGACATTTTTTTTTAAAAAAGATCAGCAATGTACCCTTCAAAAGAGCATCAGAAATCTCTTAAAAGCATCAGACATAGATTTGGGGACCATCCACATCTCCATTAGCTTCTGCTCTTACTCTGCAAGATCTTTTTGTAGTGAGAATTAAAAAGGTCGTTTTACATTGGTCTTTCTGTACAGCAAGAACAGAAACTTTTAACTAGCCAGAATTGTCAGTTTTCATATGTTTGAATGTTATACAAATTATAGTATATACAAATATAAAGTATGAATATGACTGGAAAGGTGTATTGTTTTAGAGATATGTGTTTGGCTGAAACTGTTGTATGAGCAAGGCAACTTGGGTTTGTTGTAGTATCTATGTATCATCCTTAGAGCAACAGGAGATGTCAAGATAATCTTGAATGTCTCTGTGCATAAATGTGTACATACATATTTGCACATTTACATATTTCAGAGAGGTCTCCCAAATGACAAATGCTTCCCCTGAATCAGTATTTAGGCTCCTAGCAAAAGTGGAGCGGAGGTGAATCGAATACAAATAGAAGTGTAGCAGGTTCAAGCGGGGTATGGTGGAATATTGAGTAACCTTCAGTTGGTAAGCAGCTATCTGCAAAGTATGTGCATTCTATATTGTATGTTGCATGGGCTCAGTCTTCAGCCAGAATGCATAATCGGTGCCACTTCATAGTTTCCCCATTTTGGGGGAAATCCTTTTCAGGGTTTCATGCCCAATTAAAAAGACTATAAAGGCTTGCAGCAGGTGCTGAAAGGGAGTTTTCTCTGCTTGTTTTAGTCCTGATGAAAAAGCTGCAATTTTCATTGGCAGAAAATTGCTTCTATGATACGAGTGCAGAAAGTTTTCTCTCTTTGCAAATAGCAGCTTCAGAAGCAGGCTTTTCATCAAGGCTGCAGCAGAGTCTTCCTCTCCCTGCTAATTTGGTACAGTCTCCACAATTAGCATACTGTATGCTGCATTTGGGAGAAAACACCCAAGGCCATTAAGTATAAAAAAGTGTTTAACATTACTTCTAATTTGGCCTTGTTGTGTTGATTTTCATGTTGCTTTTTCTTGCTTGCAGACTTCTGATCAGAAAACATGAAAGTAATATTGATTCTGGTTGCTTTTCCTACATAACAAATTTTTTTAATGGACATCTTTTATGCAGTATTCCTTTGATGAAAAGTCTTGAAGTGATATAAAAGGAACACAACTAGAAGAAGAAAAAAGCAAGCAAAATTGCAATAAAGTAAAAATATGAAATGTAGCGCAAAGAAGTTTATAGCAACAACTATAATGTGTGAAGTACTTTGAAGATTAGAGTGCTAAGTTTAGCTTTCAGTGCTACCTGGAAAGCATTCCTGAAGTGTCTTGAATGCAGAAACCAGTTGTGTTCTAGTGAGAAATTATTTTAAATTCCACGATTTAATATTTGAGAGATTTATTTGATTCAATATTTGAAGAGACTCAGCTGCTAACTGAAATGAAGGGAGATTTCTTCTATCTCTAAACAGTAAGTAACCGAACAATATCTTCAGTTACAGGAATCAAAATCTGTGCTTTTTGGCAACTATACCTATATGTAATAAAATTGTTTGGCAACTCACGATTTGTAGAGTATTTGATAGCCTCCAGGTTACACTTGGGTCATATCACCAACATTTGGCTACCTGATTCTCACTGCCACAATTTTTTAGTTTGAGGTTGGGGCTAGCTTTGGAGGTCAGGTTTGTTTATTAATAATATGCAAAACAATTTCATGAGTTTACCAGGCTTAATACGTTTATCGTTTACTTATTTGTTTGTTCCTCTTCCCTGATTCTCTTAACCTTCCCAAATGTTCCACATAAGATTGAAGAAGGCTCAGCCCACCACCCTTGTCAATAAGCTGCCTATCTTCTAACCTACTCTGGCACGTCCCAATGAAACAAAGTTGTCACAGAAACCACTCCACATCTCTTCTAATATACAATGAATAATTTCATTTCAATAGGAACATATCTACTCCTTTTCAAAGCTTACACATCTCAGTAACAGATTGGTGGGGAGTAGTTTACCATGTACACACATACAACATATGTCACATCTGGATGGGGAATTTAAAATGTATAGCCTGTGTAGATCATCTGTGGCCCCTACCTTCACTTTCACAGGGATCAAATTCATTTATTTGGAATAATGGGAGTTTAAGAGAGAAAATTTGTCCTTTAAGTTTGGTAGAAATTTAATGAATCTCCCCCCCTCCAAGAACCATGAATGTTATTTTTTTCTCCAGCTGTTTTGTACAACGGATCCTTGCAGTCCTTGCAGTCATGATCTTCTTCCCTTATCCATTATTTTACTAAATTGAGAAGAAGACTAATAGAGTCTCATCTTGAAGTACATGATGCTACAGTGCCAAATCCTCCTGCATGTGACCTCATCCAAGTAACTAATGGATTCCTATTTTATCCCCAAAGCCTTTCTTTTTTCTGCCTTTCTTTCTACCTACCTACCTACCCACTTTCTTACTTCAAGCATGCACAGCATCTGGCTAGTTTCTCAGCTTACATTGTAATTAGTTAACTAACTATATTTCATATCATGGTAGCCACACCATTTAATTTATCCTTCTATCAGTATTTTTTTTTTTTTTTGAAGTTTGGAACTTCTTTCTTCATCTTGTAAGGCTTTGGCCAATATGGCTTTGGTCTAGTGGGTTACTATGATGAAACACCTCTTTCTGTCTTCCAATTGTACGCCTTATCATGAAAATTTCTGAGATGATAGAACTGGTACAGAAAGTCTACCAATCATTTCTAAAAGAAACACCTGAAAGAGCCCTAGCACACACTGAATCACCTGGATATGGAAACTGTCATGGTTTTATACTATAATTTATGGTCTTCCTTTTTGAAGGTTGAACTGTTGAGGCTGATTGCACTAGGAAATGCTTGTAACTGTAATTCCAACATATTTGGAAGACATCAGATTGGAGAAGATCTTAATGTGCAAAATCTGTGTTCCCTTTCAGAGTGTTATGTAAGAATGGATTTGATGCATCTGTTTCCAGTAATCCACTACTCCTCCTCAGTTTCATATGAATTAATTCACAGTTCTTTTCAATTTCTTCATTAATCCTTCAGTTTTAGAGAAAATAT